TTTGTGGGGACAGGCCATCTGGTTTGGACAGCTTCCTTTCACTGCTCGGAGTGGCCTGGCTCAGACAATCATGTCGCCTGGCCAGTGGCTCCTAGAGTGGCCCAAAGGTGCTTCTCCATGCCTGACCGCCCACCGCCCCCAGGCCCGCTTTCTTATCCCCACCCCCTCAGGAAATGGGGAGGGAGGAACAGGGGCTTTGCAGTCTCCTATCCAGGTGGAATTTCTGTTCCACTGTCACTAGTTTGAATTCTCACAGAACCTCTCCAAGGGGCTCACAACCTTGTCCCCTCACTGGGTTGCCCTGAAGTTCTGGTGAACCCGGGTCAGAAAGTATCATATAAACACTCAGTATGTTTGGGTCTCTCCTGGCTCTCTTTCTGTAGAAAGCCCAAAATTCAGCTTTAAATTGCTAACATTAAGTGCTCTATCAATGTTCACCCTAGGATGGGTGTGTTCTAAGAGCCTCAAATACTCACTCTTGTTTAATTTCATCTCTACAATGACACTTAGAGGTAGGTCTTATAATCCCATTCTTACAGATGGGAAAACTGAGGCCCACAGAGGTTGAGCAGCTTGCCCAAGGTCACACGAATTAGTTGTGGAACTGGACTCGAACCCAGGGCAGGCTGACCCCTAAGGCCTGTGTACAGACAGCCTCATGTCATGATGGTTTGGCTGAGAGGTCACGCAAGGCTGCTTCTTCCTGCCAGGACAGGTGGGTCTCCTCTGCTGTAGGCCTGTTTTTCCAGATGGTTCTTGAAGGCACTGAGATCTCTCCGATGGCTGGTCTCCTTTCCTGGCTCATCGCTGTGGGCCACACCCTTCTCCAGGAGTCTTCTGTGGTTCCTGGAGACTCCTTGGCCCCTCTCCATCTGACTCCACCTAGTGCTCTCTCTCCTGCTTCCTTTGGCTCCATGGGTCGCATTACCCAAGCCGCTGTCATTTCACTCCCCCTTTCCGCTGTTCTTATGTCCTTTTTTCCTCATTTTTGAGTTTCAGCTCTAGGGCCATCTCTCACATTTTCCTTCCTTTTCCTTTTCCATAGGTGTTTATTCGACACCTGCTCCATGGCAGGCCTGAGTCTGTCCCTGTCCTGTGCGAATGCCTGTCTGATGGGGGAGGTGCCTCACAAAACAGTGACCACATGGCTTGGTTAGGGCTGTGATAGAGGCAGCTGAGGATGTGGGGCCAGGGAGGCCCTAACTCTCTCTGGGGAAGCTGTGGTGGGAGCTTGAAGGAGGTAGAGGAAGGGCTCACCTAGCACATAGGGCAGATAAAGGGATCCTAGGCAGAAGCAGCACCCACATGGTGGGAGGATGGAGCTGGGTGAGAGTGGTGCTCTGAGGAACAGCGTGTGGCCTGGAGCTTATGAGAGCAGCTGCAGGAGCCACAGAGTGGGGCCTCTGAGTAGTAGGGAGCCATTGAGGAGTCTTGAGCAGGGGAGGTATCTGGTCAGGCTTGCACTTCAGTAAGGTCTGTACAGTCCTAAGGGACAAAATGAAGTCCCACAGTGGAGGGAGTTACAAAGACTGGGCCTAGTGTCCCTGCAAGGCAGGGTACGGAAAGTTATGGTTGTTGTTTTGGTGGATTTGCTGTTCGGAAAGGTGTGCCTGGTGCTGGAAGCTAGAAGAAGGTGGAGAGAACGGAGGCCTGTGGACAGGAACAGTCTACTGAGCTAGCAGTGCCTAGTGGGGGCCCGAGTTGTCACAGTAAAGGGGGGGCCTGAGAGTTTAGGGGGGGTGGGTCCCTGGGACTTGGGACTTGGAAGAGAGAGGAAGTCAAGGTTAAGTCTGTTGGTGTGGGGTTGCTGTAACAGGAGGGCTCATCCTGGTTCCCTGGTGTGACCCAGGGCCAGCCTTTCTCTCTGTGTGCGTCAGTCTCCTTAGCTCTGAGGGGACTGGGTGAAACGGCCCCTCCTGACCTGGCCCAGCAGGTTTGTGACATGGCTGTGGCCCAGGAAGAAGGACACAGAGCCCATGGTGTAGCCAGTCTGGGATGACCAAATCTGGCCAGGTCTGCTGTGGTCTGGGGCCAGTGTAGGCACATCTGCCATCCGAGAGGGCACGTCTCTGACCCCCAGATGCCCTTCCCACCTTCACAGCGGGCTCTGCTCTCCCTGTCAGCTGTCTTGGCTCAGCCTGGGCTGGCTGCTCCAGGCCCTGACTCCATCTGGGGCCTCTGCTCTCCCTGTGACTGGCCCTGGGAGGGGTGGCTTGGCTCTGGGGCCCCATTGGCCGAACTTTGTCTGGGCTGCACACACCCCTGCCTCCCAAGCTGGCTGCCTGCCCACCTTGGGGTAGGAGGCGGGCCAGCCTGGCCTGCCATGACGTGGGCAAGACTGCCTTGAGCCAAGGAAGGAGTTGGAGTCTGAGAGGCCATGCCTGGGGGCAGTGGCGCTGCTCTGTCCCTTCCACTCATGCTCCAGCCCCCGGGGCTCTGTGCCCTTCTCCTGGACAACAGCAGGGGATGGCCACCATGGGTCTTGTCCCTTAGTTTGCCTGAGAGCTCAGCCCTGCTCCGAGGAGCACGAGTTTGCCTGTCTGACAGAGTGACGGGACCTCCCAGCTTTCTCAACAGAAATGTCAGCTGGGCCTGCGAGAGCCCTGCAGGGGTGGAGTCCAGTCCAGTTGGGGCGTGGCAGGACTGGGGCTGCCTTAGGAATTGGCAATCTTCCCCTGCCCCTGCCTGCCCAGTGAGTGACCGATGAAGCTCAGGAGAGGCGGGGATGTGCTCAGAATCACCAAGCACTGGAGGCCCAGGGCTAGGATTTGAACTCAAGTCTGTCTCTGTTCGTCCCTCCACAAACCTTTGATGAGGTCCTACCATGTGCCAGGCCCTTCTAAGCAAGAGCAGTAGAGTAGGGGCTTTTCAGAGGGAACAGACCAGTTTATCTTTGTTCTCTCAATGTTTGGTCCAGGGCACAGGGGAAGTGCTCGGTGAATGAATGAATGAACAAATAAGGCAAAGATTCTGCCTCCTCCGGGCCTGTAGAATCCAATGTGAGGGCAGTGACTCCTTTTCATGGAACAGGAAATAGGAGGCTGGTGGGAGTGGAGACTGACCAGGTGAGAAGCAGAGGGAGGACTGGAACTCAGGTGTCCCACTTGCTGGTCTACTGCTGTTTCCATCCTCACTTTCCACATCTGTAAAATGGGGTCAATAGTTCTCATGCTCTGCCTTCCTTGCAAGGACCTGATGAGGTGGTAATACAAAAATCGATTTGTGAAGCAGGGACATTGTGTGTCGGGCTTCCGTGTGCATGCCTGGAACTGCCCAGAAATCCCACCTGGTCTGCTCCCTTTCTTCTGACCACCTACCCTTTACATCTTGCCTCCTCCATTTTCTCTAGCATGCTCTGTGGCTTCTTTCTGGAAAGTTCTGCCCAGAACCCCTGGCCATGGGACGGGTTTGGGAAGAGTACAGGGGACTGGAGTCTACCTGCCTCCTCCCTCTGCCATCTCTCACACCCAGAAAGGCAACCGCGCAGCCGCATCTATGCAGGCCTGCAGTGCACAACAGGCCGGAAGTGCCTTGGCAGTGGTTACCATGGTAATGGGTCCTGCTGCTTGGCCACCATAGTGGCCTGCCAGATGCCGGCAGGAGCCCGGAATCCTGGCAGCCTGGCACCCTGCAGGGCTCTTCCCAGGCTGAGCGATCCTGGGGCTGCCCTCACTCTCTCCTTGACATGGAGCATGGTACCTCAAACCTGGGGGCTCTCTGGAATGAGCTGCCTCTCCAGGGACCCAGAAGTTGTTCTAGGTCAGAAAGGCCTGGTTTGAATCCCAGTTCTGCTGCTTGGGGGGTCCACGACCTGGAATGAGTCACCTTGGTGTGTTTTGAATTTATTGAATTGGCTGTGGGAGCCTCGTGGGGGAAATTATCCAAGGAGGACAGACCCCAGCACAGAGAGCTGTTCTTGCCCCTCTCTGGGGCTGTGGCAGTGGGCCATCTCAGCCCCAGGAGCAGCCAGTGCAATGTGGTGGTAGGACCTCAGGCTCTGTCGCCAGACCTTGGGTCACAGCTGTGCTCCCTGCTTCCTGGAGCCCCACCTGCAGACTGAAGGTAGCAATGAACCCACCTCAGGGGTTTGTTGTGTGGCTCCAGTGGAATTTGTACATGCCAAGTGCTTAGCGGAGTATTTGATGCCTAGTAAATGTGATAGAAATGTTCGCTGCGACTGTTACCCTGGCCACAAGAGCTGGGACTTGGGTCATTTCTCTCACACAGGCAGGGGTGCTCAGCTCTCGCTCATAGCCTGTTAGGAAGAGCAGGCAAGAGAGCTAGGAGGCCCCCTTCTTCATTCCAGCCCATCCAAGGCACTGCCCTGTACGTCCCATCCCTTCTGCCTGAGGACAGGCAAGCGAGGCCCTGGGTAGACACTCCACCTCCAATTCGTGAGTCTGAGGCCTTCCTGGGCAGCTCCTCCAGTTGGCAGCTGCGGCAGCCTTGGCCTGGATCGGACAGCTGGTCGGTGGTGGCCTGGAGCCCTCCGGGTCAGGAAAGCCAAGTGCTAATGACAGACGAACACCCAGTGAAGGCGCCGCCTCTGAGGTCATCTGGAGAACAAGGGAGCCTGAGGAAGGGCGCGCTGGGGGGGACATAGGAGCTGCTTCTGGGAACACTTTATTGGGAACAGAGGCCTCCCTGCGTGGAGAGGGGGGGACCTTTCAAGAATGAAGATCAGTCTGAGGCAGAACTTTAGCCAACTGGCCCTCCAGAATAAGGGAGGACTGAGCTTCCCTCCTCCTCCCCTCAGGTTCAGCCAGGGTCCTGCTAACACGGAGTTGGTGGCCAGAGGGAAACTGGGCAGAAATGGTATCCAGTGAGCGCCCTGGGCTCCGAGAGCCTAGGCTGGAGGGGGTTGGCCACTGCTGGAGTTCGGGGCTGGTGGGAGGTGGCCCCTGGGGTGTCTCTGCTCCCCCTGTGGCACTCAGGTCTTGGGACGGTGGGCCTGGGAGAGCCTGCAACAAGCTGACCTTTCTGTCCCCACTGTTTCCCAGGGCATCGCCTCTGTGTTCTCGAACCGCACATCCCGGAAGTCCTCCTCTCGCGCGGAGACTGCCGCTGGGGCCATGGGGGACAGCGGGGGGTACAGGAACCCCACGGAGGTGCAGATGAGCCAGCTGGTGCTGCCTTGCCACACCAACCAGCGTGGCGAGCTGAGTGTCGGGCAGCTGCTCAAATGGATCGATACCACCGCCTGCCTGTCCGGTGAGGCTCTGCCGGGCACAGGTGTGCTCCCTCGGGCAGCCCCGCCACCCAGACGGGAGGTCCCCATGATCAGAGATGGTCACCATCCCCTCTGGGCACCGCCCTCATTCCTCATCCTGCTCTTTGCTCATGCTGTTCCACCTGCCTGCAATGCCCCTTCCCAGTTCTCCATGCTCAGCCCGGGCCCACCCTCTCCCCACAATGTGCGCTCAGCTCTGAGGGCTGGCCTGCACCCTTGGGTCTCTGCTCCAACAGAGGGCCACCTCCAGTGGGGCTGCTTCAGACTGGCCCGAGGGTGTCATGAGCTCCCTGCTCTGTAGCACGGCTTGATGGGGGCTGGGCAAGGCAGAGTTGGGCCCTGCCCCTGCCCTGGGGGCAGGGGAGGGATTCTGGGGGGACTAATGTGGTCACGAGCATAGTCCCGAGGGTGAGAGTGACTCAGGCATGGAAATGCGGGTGATGTCCACGGCAGAGGCGTGGCTCCTGGGAGGGCTGGGAAGTAGAATAGCCCAGGCTAATGACTCAGTCATTGAACAGCTGCTCACTGGGGGTCTCCCGTGGGCCACCTGCGGGCCAGGCACCATTCCCAGACCGGGGCCCAGCAGTGAACGAGAGGGACAGACCTGGCCCTCAAGTTTCAGTCTCACAGCAGGGAGAGATGCCAGACAGACAATCAACAAACAGGGTTGGGGGTAGTGAGCGAGGCGGAGAAAGTAGAGGAAGGTGGGGGTGTGGACCAGGAGGCACAGCCTCAGCTTGGGCCACCTGACATTTGCTCAGAGGCCCGTGACATGGGGACACTGCTAATGTATGGCTTTCTTCCAATGCCAGCCGAGAGGCACGCTGGCTGTCCGTGCGTCACTGCTTCCATGGACGATATCTATTTTGAACACACCATTAGGTAAGTGGCCCTACCTACTTCTTGGACCCCTTGGTCTGCCCACCATGAAGCTAGGGCCCCTCCCCCATCTCCCCACCTGGTCGGCCTGTGAGCTGCCTGGAACCCTGGAACCCAACTCGACTAACCAAGGGTCTCTGCGGAGCAAGTACAGACCTGTCTGCGGGGGCTCTGGGAGACCCATGGACTGGAGCTGGCCTGCCGCTGGGTGCCGTGGGGTGGATTCCCACAGCCAGGTTTGCAGTTGGACGTTGCTGAGGCAGCATTGTGGGGTGCTGTGTGTCTCTGGGGAAGTCAGTCTCTTTCTCTGGGCCTCAGTTTTCTTATCTGCCAAATGGAAGGGAATAGACTTAATCGGTGCATGTCCTTTGGAACTCGGACATTGTCTGTGGGCCATTGGTCACTGGACTGTAGAAAGGTTTCTAGGCAAGGTCCCTCGGCAAAGCCTGAGTCAGAAGCTTGGGCCATTCAGCCTCTGCTCACATACCCCCAGGAACGAGGAGTTCATTACCTCACAGTTTTTTGTTTTGTGGTTGCTTTCTAAAATGTCTGTACTAGTTTCAAAACTCTTCATCACCCTGTGCTGGACTTTGCCTCCATTTAGCTTTGCTGGGACTCAAGGACCATTCCAAGCCCTTGGCCCAGGACAGGCTGCAGGGGGCTGCACACAGTGTTCTGGCCTTGTCCTTAACGAACAGGCCACATTTCCTATATGTCTGGGGGTGAGTGTGATGGCATAGAGGATAGTCAAAGGAGGCTTCCTGGAAGAGGTGTTCGAGCTGGCTTCAATACCATCAACACCATATGTAGTGCCCCTCTAAAAGCCAGGGGAGCGGTGTCTGGGCCAGTTCTAAGTCTCTGCTGTCAACACAGTCTTTGTCACTCTGAGGAGCTAGGGAGGAGAGGACTCGGGGTAGGGAATGGGCATGTGTGATGGATGGACCTGCTGCAGGACTCAGAGACTGAAGGTGAGTCTGGGCCAAGGAGGGTGTGGGTGGAAGGGGAAGCCAGAAAAGATCCTGGGAAGGAGGGCCAGCTGGGGATGGGTCTGGAGCAAGGCTGGTGACCAGGAAAGGCCTAGCTGCCCCTGAGGAAACCTGCAGAAGGTTTTTTTTTGTTTGTTTTTGTTTTTGCCATTTAAAGATATTTCAAAATGTATCTCTCAGTGGTAAGAACTTTTAAACATAACCTCAACATCGTTGCTACACCTAAACAAAACTAGCAGTAATGTCTCACGAACGTCAAATATCCGGTCAGCATGCAGGGGCCCACACTGTTATAGTGATTTTTGTTGTTCAAGTCAAGATTCAGATACAGATTCAGTTGTAGTTGGTTGCTGTGTCTCTTAAGTCTTTTTTATCTACAGGGGCTTTCCCTCCCCCAGCATCCTGCCCCCTCACCATCTCTCTCCTTTTTCCCTCACAATTTATTTGTGGAGGAGACCTAGTTCTTTGCCCTCTCAAGTTCTCCACCATCTGGGTTCTGCTGTTAGCATCACTGCGGTGTCATTTAATATGTTCTTCTGTCCCCCGCCAGTAAATTGGTCCTGGGGAAGGGCGTGCACAGGGCTCAGACTGGGAGCTGCCTCTGTGGGATGTGAAGTACACCCAGAGGCAGAGTTGGGGAGCTAGAGGCTGGAGGGGGCCCCTCAGGAGGCTGGGCACTGACACCAGGGAAGGAGCCAGTTTTGGCCTGAGCTGTGGGGTGGAAGAGTGTCAGGAGGGAAGAGGAGCTCGGGAGTTCAAATGGGTGTCTGCCTGGCTTTGGGGAAAGCTAGTGAGGAGGAGGGTAGCGGGAGGAGTGGGATGGGAGGGAGAGGAGGAGGAAGAAGAGGGAGAAGAGGAAGAGTAGGAGGGGGAGGAAGAGAAGAGACACAAATATCTCTTTAGCACCACAGAAAGTAGACTGTTATTTTATTTTAAGGATCATGGAAATTTTTTCTTAATTTCTTATCATGAAAACTTCCAAGACTCTAGAAAACTTGAACAGTGCAATGATCACCACCAGTGAGGTTCAAGAATTAACTTTTTTTTTTCTCAATATGCTTTATCTATATATGGATAAGTAGATACACATACTTCTCTCTCTCTTTTCTCAAGTATTTGAAAGTAAGTTACAGACATCATGACACCTCATCCCTCCATGTGTCAGCACGTATCTCCTAGAAACGACAGTCCTTCCATGCCTATTAGGACAGAGGGCAAAATAAACAGAAATGGACAAGTCCTTGGCAAACGTGAGCTTCTATTATTTATGGAGCTTGTGCTGTGGGGCTAGGCCTGGCACTGGCTCTGTCACACCCCCTCTCACTTGACCCTCAGTATCATGCATCTTAGTACTTGACAGACAAGGAGCTAGGCTCAGAGACACAAAGCAACTCATCCAAGGTCACACAGCTCCGTAGTGTGACAGTCATGCCAGAGCTGGACTGGAACCCAGGCACCTGTGACTCTTCTCACTGTGGCCACTGCCGTCCCTTGAAAGGCAGGCCTGTTGGAAGGGACCCTGCCTAGCTTTGGGGAGGAGGCTGTGCATTTGATGAAGAAATTTGCACAGTGCTCTCTATGTTTGTGACCCAAGGCACAGAGAGATGAAAGGATTTGCTCAAGGTCACCCCAGTCGCTGTCTAGCTCTTCCTTCTTGTCTTTCAGAGGGGCACCCTCAGCTGCCTCCAGTTAGACACGGAGCGGGTGAGGTGGCTCCTGTAGGGATTCTGACTGTTTATCTGGACATGGGAATTATTCCAGAGGGACAGGCTGCAGCTGGAAAGAGTGGGGCCGCTGTAGTCCACAGAACCCTGGCCCTGTAGCCCACAAAACCCTGTAGCTGGAAAGAGTGGGGCCCCGGTAGTCCACAGAACCCTGGCTCTGCTACGTTTTAGCTGGGTGATCTTGGGCAGATAGCTTGCCCTCTCTGATGTTCAATCCCCCTAAACCTACCTGTCAAGTTTATATGGAGGCTCTAATGAGGCAATGCACCGTGCTGGGCACAGAGTAGGCATCTCTTAAACGTTCCCATTTTCCTTTTCACCCTCTTGTTTATAGTCCCTTGGACTTAGTAGGCATTCAGTAGATGTGGAATGCATTAATTCAGTAGGCCACTATTTTTGGAGGACCTACCCTGTGCTGTGTGCTAGGCTTCAAAGGGTCAAGGGGGAGCAAGACAGATGTGATCCTGGCCCTGGTGGAACTTAAGTATTGTGGGGGAGACAGAGGCCCATCTGTTGGAAGGAGAGTCAGAGGGTGAAACTTCTTGAGTGACAGAGGAGTGGGGCAGGGGCCCCCAGTGAGGGGACTGTTGAGCCACAAGCCAAGAGAAGCTCGAACATTCACGGGATAAGGGGAGATGAATGAAGTCATGCCACTTCTTTCAGCCTCCGCCTTCCCACCTGTATAGTGAGATACTGACACTATCTTGCCAGCTTGCTTTGAGGACTCAGTGACATTGCTGATGTGACCATGGTCTGTAAGCCATGACATTGCCTTGCTGGGTCCCCTCAGCAGAGGCCCTGCAAGTATCCAGGACTCCTCTTCCTTCCCTCTCTCCCCTCTGGAAGGCCCACCTCCTGCTTTTCTCTCCCCAGTGTCGGACAAGTGGTGAATATCAAGGCCAAGGTGAACCGGGCCTTCAACTCCAGCATGGAGGTGTGTGGGGTGGTTGCTGCCTGGCGGTGGGTAGGTGGGTGGCTGGGGTTCCTATCTCCTCTCCCTTCTCAGCCCCCTGGGCACACTCACACTCATGGGACCCTGGTGGAGGCAGCAGGTTTCTGAAACAGCTGGCAGGGCTGGGAGGATCCTAAGGCTCTTCCTCTCTGATACCCAATAACACAGAAGGGAAAACTGAGGCCCATGGAGGGGAAGAGACTTGCCTCAGGTCACCAGGTCACATAAATTCCAATCTGAGACTTGACTTTCAGCCTACTAGGTCTTCACACCTCCCCTCAGACCCTGTTCAGCAGCCAGGTAGTCATGGGAAAGTGGGGAAGACAGCCACCAGGCCTGACCCTGGAGGCAGCAGAGCTGGAGCAGGGAGAGCCCTGGACTTCATTGCATTAGCTTATCTCCTGCAGCCTCTGTCTTCCCATCTGTGAAATGGGAGCGTGATTCCTATGCTGTGGAGTTCTTAAGTGAGCTCTGTTAGTTCTGGGGGAGAGACTGTCTTTCCCACCTGTGGATGGCAGGTCTGAGCAGCTTCCCCTAGCCAGGCCACTGGTTACTGAGGAGCCACTGAGGACAGAGTCCTGACTGCCTCTGGGTACCCCCGGATACCCCCCAGATGCCTGTCTTTTCACTGTAGCCAAGATTTTACCACTTTAAGTGCTTTCCTAGATACAGTCTCATTTTCATTCTCTCCTAGGTATGCTCACTCCCATTTCTGTCATTCATTCATTCATTCACCCATTCATTCACTCATTCATTCATATTTTAAGTAGGCTCCATGCCCAACATGGGGCTTGAACTCACAACCCTGAGATTAAAAGTCTCACGCTCTACCAACTGAGCCAGCCAGGCACCTTGTGCTCACTCTCATTTTATAGATGAGGAAACCAAGGACCAGAGCTTTTCAGGGATCCTGGGGTGGAATCAGAACCTATCTCAGGTTTCTGGCTATCGAGACTCAATAGGTGATACAGAAATACAAGGCCGGGCCTGGGCCATCGAGTTGTGGAGCCTCAGGGTGGGAGTTCCCTTTCCCCCCTCCTTACTCCTCCCGCCTTTTCTTCCCTTCCAGGTGGGCATCCAGGTGGCCTCTGAGGACCTGTGCTCTGAGAAGCAATGGACTGTGTGCAAGGCCTTGGCCACCTTTGTGGCCCATCGGGAGCTCTCCAAGGTAGGGCACTACACCTGGGTGCTTGTCGTGGCAGGCCAGGACTGGGGCTGTGAGGCTGGGGGTTGGCAGAGGCGTGGAGGAGGGGGCACTTCAGGGAATTCACAGAGGAAGCTTCCCCCAGCTGTGGCCAGACCCCAGGAACCTTCCCTCATTCCTCTTCCCCACCTCTCCCTGTGCGTCTCACGTGGGAGTCTTCAGATCTCACCATTCCCTTACGTGTCCTATAGGACCTCCCACCCCCTGCATCCTCTGTGCCTTTGCCCAAGAAAGGGGACTGGGGACATTTGCAGGATGAAAGTGACAAATCAGCCAGCGGAGACAGGACAGGGACAGAGAGGGGACGAAGACTTGTAACAATCTAGCAGCAGCCCCAGGTGTGCGATGGGGCACAGCCCTTACTGCTGCTTCAGGAGACCGGTCCTGAGCATCGCCCATGCTGTCCCCCGCCCACAGGTGAAGCTGAAGCAGACTATGCCACGCACAGAGGAGGAGAAAACAGAGCACAGCGTGGCTGCCGAGCGCCGGCGCATGCGGCTGCTGTATGCGGACACCATGAAGGACCTTCTGGCCAACTGTGTCATTCAGGACGGTGAGCAGTCGGGGGTGCGGAGTGCAGCTGGCATCCTGCGCGCCCCCCTCTGTCTTCAGCCCCCACTGGGCAAAGGGAGGAAGAGAGGCTCCTTGGGACATCTACTCACTGGCCTGATGGCCCTCTTGTCTCAAGGTCTCCTTCAGGGAAGGGCGTGTTTGGGCATCTTGTTCAGTTCCCAGGAGCCGTGAGGATGGAATTAGGATGTGAGGAACCCTTTGTTATCCACGGACTGTATTTGGATCTTTAGGTTTCGGGGTGTTTGGGAAGGTACCACTGAGCATGGCTGAAGACTGTAGGATTTTTTAAAAAGCATATCTGTCTATCCATCCATCTATCTGTCTATATGCTTTATATATATATAAAAATATATGCACGCACATATATATAGATATATATACACACACATACATAAATAATATAGATGTAGATAAACATATAGAATAAAAAGCGAGACTCTCTCCTACCCAGAACCTGGGTCCCCTCCAGTTACTCATTTTGGGGCACCTTTCCAGAAGATTCCCTGCATACTTAAGCATACTATGTATTATTTAGCCCTCTCTTTTTACCCAAAAGGGAACAGACAGTACATACTGTTCAGTGTCTTACTTCTTTCCCCTTAAGAGTACATCTTGGAGATTGTTCTATACCAGCACACAAAGATCTCCTGTGGAGTGGTAGGATTTTGACAGATGGAGAGACAAGGAAAGGTTTTCCTGACGGAGAGCACAGGCTGGGCAAAGGCCCAGAGGGGTAACCTTGGATTCACTCACTGATCTCCAGAGCAGTAGGATGTGGAGTCTTCCTTGAACCCTAGACAAGGCAACTGTAGGACAATTCAAATGTAGTTCAGTGGCCCAGAGTGGGAGAGAGCAGGTGCAAGCAGTTGGCCCCATAAAGCAGCGAGAGGGGCTCCCAGTTCCATGTGCCTTATGTATGTGGGGTCTGGGGGCTGTGGCTGGGGAGGCCTGGCTCTTCCTACTGTTTTTGAGATCCCCCTAGAGTCATCCATCCACTGCAGCCCTCCCAAACCCCTCTTGTCCTGACAGCCCCTCTACCCCAGGGTTAGTCCAGATGCCATAGTGTGACATCCAGGCCCTGGGCTGGCCATTCAGCTTGACCTGGTGCTGACCTATTATTTGCCCTCGGCTCCATCTAAGCCAAGGCTTCATTGCTTCTTATGACTGTCTTACCTGTCCTGTCTCCAGATCTCAGCTCAGGCCCCCTTCCACCTCCCCCGTGCCTGTCTGTGGCATCTCGGAGCAGCCTGCCAGTGAACGGCCACCTCTTTGATGGGCTGTCCCTGACGAGGTCTCTCTTCCTGGTTGATGGGAGATGCACGGCTCCCCCTTGGGTTGGAGGCGGGGGTCATATCAGCATCTGCTCCTCTGACCCCCAAGGCCCTGCCTGCTCTTGGGCCTCTCCTACTGAGGATCTCCCGATGCCATTGCCCCTGACGGACAGGGCCTGTCAGGGCAGAGGGAGGGAAGAACTATCCTTCTGAGAGTCTGTCTCCTGAGTTTGGTGCCAAGCTCTCTGGAATCACTATCTCACTTCATCTTCACAAACCTCGTGGGTTGGGTCTGACATACCCCTTCACCAATGAGGAAACTGAGGGTCAGAGAGTTTCCCTGACTTGTCCGAGTTGTGTCCAGGTGTGTCTTCTCTACAAGTGGGTGTCCTGCCCCCTGCCCTTCGACGACCTCACCTCCCTCATCCTGAGCCCTCCTGTTCCTCAGCTGAGGCCGGCACTCTCGGTTCTTAGTCGATACAAGACTCTGGGTGACTGGGAATGCTGGTGGCAGGGGTCCCCGGGTTTGCCCTGTGGGAGGGTCTGCCCTTGAGAACCTTTCCCCTTCGCACTCTTTCCCTCTGCCCTTCCCGGGTCAGATCTGGAGAGCAGAGACTGCAGCTGCATGGTACCGGCCGAGAAAACCCGCGTGGAAAGCGTGGAGCTGGTCCTGCCTCCCCATGCCAATCACCAAGGCAATACCTTTGGGGGCCAGATCATGGCCTGGATGGAGAACGTGGCCACCATCGCAGCCAGGTGAGGAGAGAGCGTGCTGCCTCTGCCTCCCCTCCTTTCTCTCCCTCCTTCCCTTGGCTGGCTTCCTCTGGGGGGAGAAACCCCAGCTTGGAGTTGGCATTCAAGGCTTCGGGAGCTTGGCTGTTCTGTCAGGGGAAACCTAGGGCTTTGAGAGCCAGAGAGGAGTGATTTTTCTGTGAGCTGGCCATCCCCTCCTCCACACGGTCCTGGTCCTCATCGCCTGCGTGGGAAATGCCACACCCCTGGCCCAGCGCTAGGGCCTCCTCTTGGCTGGGTCCGGCCTGCTTTCTTCCAGTATCTTATGCTTGCTGCACCTGAAGCCATCTGCCCTTCCCTGTTCCCATTCTCCGAGTTCCCATCCTCTGCCTTTGCTCCTGGCCACTTCCTCTCCTTTTGATCTGCTAAAATCCACGAAGCCTCTTTAACTGTTCCCTTCTCCCTAGAGGTGAAAACAATTCCTTCCTTCTTCTAGAATCTCTGCCCTTGTCTGGGGTTTGTTCTCTAAATATGGGGGTATTTTTTTATAGCTATGATAACTGACACTCACTGCCTGACCCTCCTGCCTATAGGGCTTTGTGTTTCTGTTCCCTCTGCCAGGAGTGCGCTCTACCCCAGGGTTAGTCCAGATGTTAGTTAGGTTAGTCTGGATGCCTTAGTGTGGCATCCCGGCCCTGGGCTGGCCATTCAGCTTGACCTGGTGCTGACCTTTTACTTGCCTTCAGGTCCACTTAAGCCAAGACCTCATTGCTTCCTGTGACTGTCCTACCAGTCCTGTCTCATCCTATCCTCTGCCAGGAGTGCCCTCCTCAACCCACATCTTCCTGAGCCAGAGGAATTATTCCTCACCTCTAAAGAGCCTGGCCCACACCCCCCCTCCCCTGTGTTGACCCCCTGGGACCCAGTGTACAAACAATGCCATTTTGGGCAGACCCACCTGCGTGTGTGTGTGTGTGTGTGTGTGTGTGTGTGTGTGTGTGTGATAAGTTCTCAGAGGAGGGTCACAGCCCAGATAGTCAAGGAACCCTTCCTGGAGAAAGCTCTTTAGCTGGGCCTTGAATGACAAGTAGCTTTGGGTGAGGGGAGGGCTTCTAGATAGTAGAAGCAGCTGGTGCTGGGGTGTAAAGGTTGGTGAACAATGGGGAAGGAATTAGCCCCAAGCCCTGTCCTTTCATCTTTTACCTCAAGCTCAGCTGCTTGCTAATGCTGCATAGACCTGAGTGTTCTAAGCTGCAAAATGGGACTTTAGTTCTATTCCCCTGGGCAGAAGCATCCCAGGTTGGGTGGGAGTGGGTGGACCAGAGGGCAGTGCATGTGGGCTGGGTCTGTGGCTGGGGGCAAGGGGAAAGGCTGGCCCAGGCCTGTGGCTGAAGCACTGGAGCGTTTGTCCTGTCTCCCCAACCCTGGCCTCCTCCAGCCGGCTGTGCCGTGCCCACCCTACGCTGAAGGCCATTGAGATGTTCCACTTCCGGGGCCCCTCCCAGGTTGGGGACCGCCTGGTGCTCAAGGCCATCGTGAACAACGCCTTCAAGAATAGGTAAGGAGTGGGACCAGGGCCCCTTGGGATTGAAGGCTCTTTTGGACCTAGTCGAAAAGCTGCCAATGCCGCAGATAAAAGGCCCATGAAGTCTAAAGCCTGCCCAGCAGCAGGGCACCCTCACCATGACCGAGATGCAGCTCTGCTATTCCCTGCTCTGGGCTCCCCAGCCCTGTGGCTCCTGGGGTCTCCAGTCATTCCCTATGCTCCGAGTGTCTCTGTCTCTCTTCCTGGCTCCTGCCTCTGGGCTGTGCTCAACATCATAGGGCCCTCTCTTGCCAGTGTTCTGTCATTTATCAAGTCTTTCAGTACCTTTCTCCTAAAACAACAATTCCTTCCCAGACTCCTTAATTTGGAATGAATCAGATACTTATGAGAAAGCTTACTTTAAATATGTATCTTTGTTGATTTCAAAGATCATAATGGAGTTGTTAAAAGTGAGGGAACAATGGGGCACCTGGGTGGCTCAGTCCACTAAGCGTCTATCTTCGGCTCAGGTCATGCTCCAGGGTCCTGGGATCGAGCCCCACATCAGGCTTCCTGCTCAGCGGGGAGTCGCTTCTCCCTTTCCCTCTGCCCTTCTGCATTCATGCTCTCTCTCCGTCAAATAAATAAATAAAGTCTTAAAGAAAAAAAAAGTGAGGGAGCCAGGCTCCCTGGGTTTAAGTTTGGCTTACCTTTTATTGGCTGTGTGGCTTTAGGCAAGTTATTCAACATCCCTGAGTTTCAGTTCTTCTTCTTCTTTTTTTTTTTTCTTTTTAACAATTGTGCTGTTTGTTTGTTTATTCATTTATTTCAGGGAGAGAGAGAGCCTGCAGAACAGGGTTGGAGGGGGTGGGTTGGGGGTGGGGTCTGGGGAGGACCAGAGGCAGACGGAGAAAGAATCAGAAGCAGGCTCTGTTCTCAGTGTTCAGTCCCACACGGGAAACCACCCCACGATCCTGAGATCGTGACCTGAGCCGGAATCAAGAGTCAGACGCTCACCCGTCTGAGCCACCCAGGAGCCCTACTTCAGCTTCAGTTCTTTGGCTTGTGAAATGGGGCTCAGCATGACGACATCATGGTTGTGAGGGTTCAGTACGGTCTAACTGGCACATTGACAGAGAAACCGTGCTGGGCAGCATTGTCACTATTCTGGCCATTCCTCACGGTCTGACCCACACGCGGTCTGCAGCTGTGGTGGGGGAGGGGTGGTGGGGGAGCGGGGGTGGGGGTGGGGAGGGTGGGGAGCCCTGAACTAGCAACTGCAAGTGCAGCCCAGCTTCCCTTCCTGGCTGCTGTGGGACCTTGGCCCAGTGACTGTCCTGTCCTAGGTCCTGGTTCACCCTCTGCATAACATCCACATGCTGGGATCATCAAGCTTCCTGAGAGGGGGGCACAGGGGTGGCTGCTTTTTATAAGCCACGAAACAGCAGTGAGTGAGCTGTCGGGAGCACAGCTGTTAGGGCCCTCGTGAAGGTGTGCGGAGGGAACATTATTTCCAAGTAGGAAAAAGTACTCACGTCCTTCCAGAATCCTTTGCAGTTTACATGTGTTTTATATACATGATATGTACATATCTATGTATATGTGTATACGTGTTATATACATTGATTCCATTTCATAGTATATATACATAGACATGTACATACATGTGTGTATATACTTGCTTAGTGCCCTGTTCCCCAGCTGTTAGCACATGAGTGCACGGACCGAACCAGTGTATTCCTTTCTGGGGCCCCAGTGACTAGCCTAGGGCCAGGCCTGTAGTAGGTGCTCTGTAAACAGTGATGGAAGGGAACAGTTCTGGGTTTCCTACCAGAGGGATTCTGATCTGGGCTGCTGGGAGAGCTGCAGGAGCGTGTGTGTGCACATGTGCACGTGTGTGTGTTGGGGAGGGGGCGTGCACTCAGGAAGGTGGGTCCAGCATGGAAGCGGCCGTCCTTCCCCTTCAGCATGGAGGTGGGCGTGTGCGTGGAGGCTTACCGCCAGGAGGCTGAGAGCCATCGGCGGCACATCAACAGTGCCTTCATGACCTTCGTGGTCCTGGACGCGGATGACCAGCCTCGGACACTGCCCTGGATTCAGCCCCAGCCGGGGGTGAGTGGCATCCTGCCCCACCACCAGTTCCCCTCCCCTCCCTCTCTGCCCAAGGGTGGTGGGGCCTGCTAGCGCCTAATGCAGCCCGGAAGTGATGGGCTCAGCCCTGCCCCTCTGCGGGGGCACAGCCAGTTTGCCCTGTGACCTGCAGAGACGCCCCTTGTGCAAGGCAGGCACCCTGGTCTGCCTGCAAGAATAGGGCGCCGTGGATGGGCCTAGCTCAGTTAGGTGTTAGCAGGCATTCAGCGAGCCTGCAGAGTCAGAGGAGCGCTGGCTTTGGGGTCAGAGGTGGGTTGGAAGCCCCCTCTGCCCTGTTCTAGTGGGCGCCCTCTGTCAGTTTCTAGTCTCCGCCCATACAGCAGGTGTGTCTGCACTCCTGCCTCCCGGGGATGTGGGGGCTATCTGAGGGGCGCTGAGCCCCATAGGTACTCAGTAAATGGTGACCATTATGGGAGGTGAGAGAGCAAGAAGCATAGAGACCAGAGTCAGGGACTTGGGTTCAAAGCCCGACTCTTAAAAAATGCCGTCTTGGATCTCCTGGGGCTTCCTTCTGGGGGTGCCGAGGGGTGACCTTGGAGAGGCATTCCCTTTCTCCAGGATGGTCCTCCACCCTGCCTACCTCACAGGGCCAAGCATTGGCTGTGAAAGACCCCCACTCCACAGCTGGGCTTTTGCGGGGGAGGGGTGGAGGAGGGGTGGCGAATAGTTCACAGGCGCTCTCAGCCTGGGCCAGGTAACGCTCATGAGTGGGGAGACACCAGAAGCAGTAGTTAAGAGGCTGGACTCCAGGTCAGGCTGTCAGGGTTCCGTTCCTGGCCCCACTCCTTACATCTACAACCTTGGGTAAGCCACCCACCTTTCTGTGCCTCAGTTTCCTCCTCTGCAAAATGAGGGTAAGATGAATACCAACTTGAGAGGGCTGTGGCGAGGCTTGACACCTGCACGGAAGGCGCTTCAGAAGCGTGCCGGGTAGCAGCAGGTGCCCAGGAAGCGTGGGTTCTTACTAGCACTGTCTGTGCCCTTTGCGATCCCCTTGTGGAGAGGAGGATGTTGAGGCCCAGCGAGTGCAGGTGGTGCTCCCAGAGTCACTCAGAGAGTCTGGGGGAAGCAGGGGCTGCAGCTCAGAGACTCAGCCCTTTTCCTGTCCAGGTTGCTTTGCCTTGGGCTGCCCCCGTGAGACCCAAGCTCCACGTCAGGGCTGCAGGGCCTCCTCAGGCCTTGGGAGGGGGGCAACAGTAATGTGGGCGCTCGCCCGGCCTGCAGCACAGTCTGTCCCTGCGTCTCTCCCCAGGATGGTGAGCGGCGCTATCGAGAGGCTAGTGCCAGGAAGAAGATCCGGCTGGACAGGTGAGTGTGGGTGGTGGGAGGGTTCAGGGCTGTCCGCCTGCTCCGCGGGCCCCAGGGACTGGCATTTCTTCAGTGCCGCCCCTGTGCTGGGCACTGGGCTGGGGCCTTTACGTCCGCACAACCTTACTAGCCAGTGGTCTTCCTGACCCAATGTCTGGGCGAGGACGCTGAGCAGAGGGATTAGGCGGCCATGGGTACACAGATGGGAATGATGGGCGGAGTGAGACTTTGATCTTGGCAAGGTCTGGCCACTTCTGAATCCTGGGTTCCTTCCCTTGACTGCGATGAGTGTTGGGTAGGTCCCGAGAGCAGAGGCAGTTGCTCAAGACGCACAGCCTGGTGTGGCCCACGGCTGCTGAACACTTCCACGCTGGAAAGTGCTGGAAATACGCTGGGGTTTGCCATCTTCGTGGACAGGAGAATTGTGAATCTACAGAGTACTTACCATAGGCCGACCCTCCCCACCATGATGACCCTATGAGACAGGTGCAATGCCCAGCCCCACCGTACGGAGGAGCCCACTGAGGCACGAGGGCAAAGCTGCTTCAGCCAAGGCCATCTGATCGGCGAGGGCACGGGGAGCCAGTCTTCCCCCAGCACCCTGGCCCTGGCCTCACTCTGCTTCTGGACGAGTTTGTGTGCTCTCAGCTCCCACTTTCTGGGTGCCCAGCCTGTCTACGTGGCTGGACAGGAGTCCCTCCCCTGCTGCAGGGCTGAGCACTGGGAGCGAAGTCTTCTGAAAGATGTGGGCTCCCCAGGGACCATGGTGGTTCTCTTCCCTTTCCCAGGAAGTACATCGTATCCTGTAAACAGGCAGAAATGCCCCTCTCTGTCCCCTGGGACCCTAGCAACCAGGTAAGGCCTCTGCTCTGAGGGGACAGTCCACAGGCCCGTGTTGGGGGTGGGGGGGACCCTGACTCTCTGTTCTTGTCAGAATGGGTTTGAAAGTAGGCCTGAGGGGGACAGGATACTGTGTCATGACTCAAGATTGGTATAGTTAGCAAAGGGCTTTCCTCTGTCCCCGTTTGGCAGGAGGGAGCTGAGGCCCTGAGAAGAGGGTCACACAGTGAGTCTGCCCAAGGCTGGGCCTCCTATTCCGAGGCCCAGGGCCTGGCACCCACCCCCGCTTCTTACCCCTTCATTGCCCAATGTCCCCTCCTGGCCCAGAGCCCCCACGGAAGGGGAGAAGGTGAAGCTTCTCTGTGTGCTCTGTCCAGGTCTACCTGAGCTACAACAACGTCTCCTCCCTGAAGATGCTGGTGGCCAAGGACAACTGGGTGCTGTCTTCTGAGATCAACCAGGTAGCTGGCCCCACCCACCAGATGGCTGACCTCAAGCAACAGAAGTTCTCTCAAACCACTCATGTCCAAGGAGGATTTATTTATTTATTCCTTCCTTCCTTCCTTCCTTCCTTCCTTTCTTTCTTTCTTTCTTTTTTAATATTTATTTGAGAGAGAGAGTAGGGCAAGAGAGAGTACACAAGCGGGGGAGGGGGCAGAGGGAGAGGGAGAAGCAGACTCCCTGCTGAGCAGGGAGCCCAATGCAGGGCTCAATCCCAGGACCCCGAGGTCATGACCTGACCTGAAGGCAGATGCTCAACTGACTTTTTTTTTTTTTAAATTTTATTTATTTATTTGAGAGGGGGAGAATGAGAGAAAGAGAGAGAGAGAGAGAGAGCACGAGAGGGGGAGGGTCAGAGGGAGAAGCAGACTCCCCACTGAGCAGGGAGCCCAAATGTGGGACTCGATCCCGGGACTCCAGGATCATGACCTGAGCCGAAGGCAGTCCCTCAACCAACCGAGCCACTTAGGCACCCCTTAACCGACCTTCTTAAAAGGAATTGGTTTCTCCCATGAAACCATTCCAGTTAGAGAAACACGGTGCTCTCACAGTACCTGGAGTGGAGAACCCCCAAATCTTTCTCTCCTGCCCACCCACCATCTAGCCCCCAACCCCTCATCTCTGCTATTCTCTGCCCTGCTGCTTCCTCCCTCTCTCTGCTCCTTCCTCCCTGCGCAGATAGGGCCAGTGGACAAGCCTGGGTTGAGGGAAGACATGAGCTCTGCCTGTGCCCTGAGGAGAGTCACTGCCCCTCATCTGTGACGTTAGGGGCTTCACCAGGTGCCTGGCTCTGAGGACCCTTTCTGTTGTTGCCTTAGTCACTGCTTCCTAATACACCCTCCTGTCCACCTGTGCCAGATTCTCCCAGCGGCCCATTTCCATGGGGATGAGCCTGAGGCTCAGAGAGGTTGAATCGCTTTCTCACAGTCACACAGCAAGTCAGTGGCAGCCCTGAGCTTCCAGCCCCAGCCTCCAGCGTGGTGTCAGCTCACCCCATGGCCCAGCATAGCCCGGGGAGGAGGTGCGGGACCGAGGCTGCCCTCTGTCCCATACAGGTCCGCCTGTACACTCTGGAGGAAGACAAGTTCCTGTCCTTTCACATGGAGATGTTGGTGCATGTGGACGCCACCCAGGCCTTTCTGCTGCTCTCGGACCTGCTTCGGAGGCCCGAGTGGGACAAGCACTACCGGTGAGGGCTGAGGTGCGGGCGGGGCAGTGCACTCCGCTCAGGCCTGATGGGGAAGCGGGGCCCTTGGGCATCCCTTGCTGAGCGGTCCTCCCTGATGCTCAGCCCCTGCTGGCTTTTAGCGGGGCGTGGGGTGCGGTGTGAGGGAAGTGCTGTTATGTGTTGGGCGGGTGTCAGAGTTGAGGGCTTTCTGAGCCCTCCGGAGGGACTGAGCCTGAACTGGAGTTGGAGGCCTGGGTTTAAGTCATGTTTCTGGACCAACCGGCTCTGTGACCTTGGGCAAGTCCCTTCCTTTCTAGGCCTCAGTTTTCCTCCTCTTAACGTGGGTACTTGAGGTGTGGGTCATGCATTTGCACTCTGGGATAGATCAGTGATTTTTTTTTTAATTTCCCCTTTTTCTGTTCTTGTCTTTTAAATTCCCGTGTTTGGTTTTTCTTTTTATTTATTTGAAAGAGAGAGAGCACGCGCACAAGTGCACGCATGCGCACACGGGGGGGGGAGGGGCAGAGCAGAGGGAGAAGCAGGGAGCCCGCTGTGGGGCTAGATCCCAGGACCCTGAGATCATGACCTGAGCTGAAGGCAGACGCTCAACCAGCTGAGCCACCCAGGTGCTCCTAGATCAGTGATTTTCAGACCATGTTCTGTGGCATTCTGTATCCCCATAGGAGGCTCAGGACCACTTAATGGGGGTTAGAATGCTGAGGGGGCTGGTGGCCCCCTCCCAGCTTCAGGGGAAGGCATGGAACGGCCAGTTTGATGAATTCACCCAGTCTGCCAGCTCTTAAGGAAATGTGCACGTATATGTTATTTTTGAATGTAGTGAGTTACTGAATATAAATGTTACTCCTATGAATACATTTGTTCCCTGAATTTACTGATTCTCCATGTGAATATTTTCTTCCTGAATTTAGCCAAGGAAGATAAAGCTGTTCTTAGGAAAACAGCCAAAATTTCAGTATTTAATATGAGAATGTTAAAGTTGAAACTGGTATTTTTTCCCAGTTCCCTTAAAGTCATTTTCTGTTGTGCCAACACCTTACTTTGGTCATTTCTCCTGTGGCTGCTCTACGAGGTGCCTGTGTTCCCAAGTCAGTCCATGAGGAGGATCCGTGCATGTGGGAATTCAGTGAGCAGGTTGTCTGGCAAGTTGAGTTTTGACAAATTGCCTTCCCCTTCCTACTTCCATCTATCTTACCAGAGCAGGCCTACTTGTGGCTGTTTCCACACAGGCTTTCTGTTTAATCAAAGGTTTTGGTGCACAAAAGACCATTGCTTTAAAAAGCCTAAGTCAGGGGCGCCTGGGTGGTTTGGTCCGTTAAGTGGCTGCCTTTGGCTCAGGTCATGATCCCAGGATCCTGGGATGGAGCCCTCGCCCACCATCAGGCTCTCTGCTCAGCAAGGAGCCTGCTTCTCCCTCTTCCTCTGCCCCTCCCTGGCTTGTTCATGTGTGCATGTGTGTGTGCACACTGGTGCATGCTTTCTCTCAAATAAATGAATAAAATCTTAAAAAAAAACCAAAAAAAACAAAAAGCCCTGGTCTAGGTGACCCCAAGCCTGTTAGTAGTGACATTCTACAAAGCTGGGAGGTGATTTGGTGGTGGATGTTGGGGGCATTGGGCCTATGGTAGGAAGGCTTCTTGGAGGAGGCAGGCTGATGTGGGCCTTGAAGGCAAAATCAGATCTTGATACTTGATGGGATTGGGCCAGGAGAGTATCCTAAGGGGAAAGGGAGCCCTTAGCTGCTTCCCTCTACCCTGCCCATCGCACCCTGTTCATGAGGCAGCCTCTGAGGGAGGGTGAGAGCGCAGGGAAGGAGGTGGTAGGGTCAGACATGGTCATGTATGTTTCTGTGTGTGCGTATTGGTGTGACCCTGTGTGTGTATACCTGGACCCACATGCAGTATGCCTGGGCCTGAAGGGCTGCAGCTGTGGGCAGGCTATTTGCCTGAGTCTCAGGCCCTTGTCTATACAATGGGGACACCAAGAGGACCTATTGCGTCAGCTGCTGTGGGGTTAAATGAGACAGTACATGGAAAGCACCACGAACAGTGGCACATGGCAGGCACTCATAACCAGGACACTGTCACACGTCTGTGCAGGGCTGTGTGTGCACGGGCAGGACCTGTGTCTGTGTATGCCCATGGGCGTGCCTTTATCTGTGCATATCTTTGTTCCCATGTCTGTGTGCATTTGCCTGCGTACCTGTGTGTATGTGTTCACACGTGCTTGGCCTGGCCTTCCTGCCCTCCTGTGGCCCCTGCTGAGCAGTGTAGGTGGCCAAGTGCCCCCCCAGACTCTGCTCAAGAAGACTGAAGCATGGGAGGGCCTGGGCTGGACTGGCTTGTCCCAGGAGCAGCCACCAGTGTGACTCTCGAGTCCTGACCTCTGGGCCTCCCTATAGGAGCGTGGAGCTCGTGCAGCAGGTGGACGAGGACGATGCCATCTACCATGTCATCAGCCCTGTCCTCGGCGGCGATGCCAAGCCCCAGGACTTTGTGATCCTGGCCTCTCGGCGGAAGCCTTGTGACAATGGGTGGGTGCCAGACTGCTGAGGCTGGAGGCATGCAGGGCTCATCTTCCTCCCTGGGAGGGAACAGCAGCTTGAACTCAGGGCTCTTCCTGTTTGCTGTGGGACTCCAGGCACTGTTTGGCTTGTTGGGGCTGCTGGGGTCTTGCTATGGGTAAAAAGAGGGGTTGCAGCTCCCTTCTGGTTACATGTGCTCTAAGGCAGGGTGGTCTCTGTCCCTAGGGGAGAGGGGGACAAGGCTGCCTTTCCCCAGACATGGCAGGCCCTTGCTTATGGGCCACCTCCTTGGCCTCCACCCTCTGAAGGCCCCATGTTGACTAAAGACCGGCGAGGCCAGGACGCACAGCATCACTTCTGTTGGGGACAAGCACAGAAAAATGAAGCACAAAATCCCAAAGTGTGGGACTCCTTTGAGCATCTGTAGCGGAGCAGCTTTTCCAGAAAAATCTGTGAAGCCATGCTGGCTCCTGGCAAATACGGGGCTGCTGACACACAGGCCCTCCTCTTTAGCCTGGCCCAGAGCCCCTGTTGGGCCTTTTAAGAGTTTCTGTGCCTCAGCCTCTGGTGGAGTCGTCTGTGTGGAGGGGGCTTTGGCGCCTGAGCTGGGGGAACAGGCCCTTACCTCCTCTATCCTGGCTCTGCTCCAGGGACCCCTACGTCATTGCGCTGAGGTCAGTTACACTGCCCACACACCCTGAGACACCAGCATACAGGCGCGGGGAGACCCTCTGCTCTGGTTTCTGCTTCTGGCGAGAGGGGGACCAGCTGACCAAGGTGAGTCCCATGTCCCCAACCCCCAGATCCCTCCCCAAGGCCACATGCATGTCCAGAGCTTGGTGCTGTGGGCTCAGTCAATTGCATACCTGGGCCCCACCTGCAGGCTCTTTTCTAGCTTTGGGGAGCCGAGGAGTGTCAGGGGCTGCATCTAATCTGTGAGGAGGAAGACAGCAGGGTCTCTGAAACAGCCCTGGATGCCGAGGGCAGAGGCCTAGGTTTCTGATCTAAAATTCATCTCATTATTTACTTGTATACCTCTCTTGTCTAGGAAGGCTTTATATGGCTCTCAGGGCCAATAAAACTCAGCAAGGCAGTTAGCGCTAATTGAAAATGTGGGGGAGGCAGCAGAGGGCCAGTGTGTGTGTGTGGGGGGGGCAGCACCCAGGTGGGGACATTGGTGTTTGCTACCTTTATACATGTAACCTGAGGGGCTTCTCAGCACCATCCCTGGGCTTATTTCTAACTTCCTTCCATGACCCTAGAGCAACATTTCTCTGTGCAGGGCTTGGGAGACCCCTTCCCTGCCCTCCAGAACCTCCCCATCTGACAAAGGAGGCACAGGTTAGCAGTACCGTCTATGATGACTGAAAGAAGCGGGGTTTTCAGCCACCAGGGTCACACCACATCATCCTCTAGAGCCCCAGAGTGCTGGCCCGGATTTGCTGCCCTCCCCACCCCCTCCCCATCCCCCCTCCCTGAATGTGGCTTCCTCCCTACCTGGCAGGTGTCCTACTACAACCAGGCTACCCCAGGCTTTCTCAACTATGTGACCACCAACGTGGCTGGTCTCTCCTCGGAGTTCTACACCACCTTCAAGGCCTGTGAGCAGTTCCTGTTGGACAACCGTAGTGATCTGGCCCCCAGCCTCCAAACCCTCTAGCCCCTGCCCCACAGTGGCCACCGCATGCCCACTCCCCCTCCATCCTGCTGCCCCTAGGGCACATTGGCAGTGCATTGAGGAAGACAGGAGCATTTATTCCTTGCTGCCTCCGCCGTGAGAAGCCTGGACCCAGGTGACCGCCGGCCCAGCCCCCACAGGCACTCAGTTCCTGCCAGCATCCGCCAGCAAGTCTTCGCGGTCCCTCTGAGGCAGCCTGTAGTAGACTCGGGTCCTGTCCACAGCCCTGGCAGCCAGCAGCACCTCCCGCACTGGTGCATAGCCGCCCCCCTCAGAGCTGTGCTCCACTGTGACAGTGGCCTGGGGCGAGGCTGCCAGCAGCCTGGCCACCACCCCAGCCGTGTCCCGGCCCAGTAGCCCAGCCTGCAGCTGGAAGGACACAGGCTGCCAGAGACCCTGGCACAGGCCCAGCATATCTGCAAGCAGCTGTTCTCCGTAGCCACTGCCCAGCGCCTCCTCAGGCCAGCCTGGTGCCACTGTCACGTGGGGGAACACCTCTGCCACAGCTGTCAGCAGCTCCCTGCCGGCCACGTGGCCAGGGACCACAAAGCTGCCATGGGAGACCGTGGCCCCAATCCACACAGGCCGCAGCAGGTGGCCATGAGCAGAAAGGTGGGCCAGTGTGGCTAGGGCCGGCCGGAGGGCCAAAGGCTCGGCTATGCGCAGGTAGATACCCCAGCGTCCAGGCCGCCCAGCAAGTTGCAGCAGGCAGGACTCCAGCGTCAGGACAGGACCTCCTGGGGCACGCACCATGGCCACGGTGTCCTTGGCTGCAGGCCCCTGGAGGCCAACATTTAGCAGGATCATGCCTTCTCTGTCTGAAAGGGGTGGTGGAGACAATGGTGTCAGGAGTTGGGGTGATGGGGGGTATCCAGGGGTGGTAATGGGGGCAGCCAAGGAGAAGCTGGTGCCCTATCTGCTGAGATCTGTCGATGATGGTCTGGGCTCCAAGTGGAAGGCTGCTTTATAAATGTGCCCGGGACTCATCAGAAATGACATGATCAGCAGCTAGCTCGGCTCTGGGCTTTTGACTGGGACTCAGTCCTGAGGCCGTGGCCTGCCTCTTCCACAGCAGATAGGGCTCAGGACTCAAGGGCACTGAAGGTTAGGGCCCCGGGCTCTCCTCCACCATGGCATCTAGCACACTGCCACGGTCACAGAGGCCCTAGATTCCTGCCCCATACAAAGGGCACCCCCCCCCCCCCCGCCAAGCTGCCTAGTTTAGCTAGGAGCACAGGGGCTCAGGGGCTGAAGGCAGGCCTTACCTGGGAGGCTGACTGTTGCTGTTCTCCTGTTGCCCTGGAGGTCAGGAACCAGCCACTCCACACTCAGACCGTCCCCGCCAGGGGGCTGGAGGAGAGGGATCAGGCTGCCTCCCGTGTAGTAAATTCGCTTCCGTGTGGCATTCGCTGCAGGGCCCCAAATTGTCAAGATGAAAGTGCCACCGTTCCCAGAGCACCTTCTCTGTGCCCTATGTCTACACACATTCTCACCCTGCCTCAAGGCACCCCACCAGGCACACGTCCTCAGAGATTACGAGGGGCTGGCACAAGATCCCACAGCCAAACAACAGAGTTGCTGGGGTTGGAGCCTGATGGAGCCAAGTCTGCCCAGCCCCAAAGATGGAACTCCCCGTCCCCGCACCAACATGGGTCCCATGGCAGGAATGTGGAGTCTCGTGGGTTCCCTGGGAGATAGTTTAACTGGAGTCTCTCCTAGGTCCAGGGTCAAGGGAATAAGGGGTTTGGACAAGTTAACAGGTAGCATCTGGGTCACTGATTAGTAGGTACATTGGTGCAGAGGGGGCAGGCTCTGAGAAACTATGCTGCAAGGGAAAAGTACATGGGGTTTGGGATTTGCTGGGTTCCCATCTAGGCTGTGCTGTGTAGAGCAAATGACTTGGTGCAGATTACTTAAGTGGTCTGAAGGTCAGTTTCTCTCTCTTTAGAATGGAATCACTGCTTCCTGGATATCTGAGGCTGACACAGCACACCATACCCAAGTTTGGCCTACAATACGTGCTTAAGAGTCCACCCAGAATTTTCCCTTCTCTAGCTCTGCTCTACTCTCCACCAAATGCCGTCCTGTGCAAAATTCAGGCCCCCTACCCTCCCTGGCTGCTCCACGCCCCTCCCTACCGGCCAGCTGCTTGAACTGCGACAGGACAGGCTCAAAGAGGTCATAGTAGACTTGGTGGGGTGCGGTGTTGTCTCGGATGTAGAGGAGATCATCCACGGACACGGGGTCCGAGGCGCCCTGCCACAGCGTCAGGCTGTACCTGGGGCCCAGAGAGCCAGGTCAGCTCCTGCCTGGGCCCAGCAAGGTCCTCATCCCAGAGCAGCACCCTAGCTGCGCAGGGATGAGAGTAGCTGACCTCCAGCTTCCCACCAGCCCCTCCTCCCTGAGAATTGTTCCTGCCTTCCCAGGGGCAGAAGTCGTCACAGGGGCTTCAGGAAGGAAAAGAGAAAGATTAAGCAGGAGGGGCTGCCCCATCCTGCCTCCTCCCTGGGTGTCTGTTTCTGGTCCTGTCTTAGGAATGGGACAAGGATAGACAAGGATGGGTACAGGCTGTGGGGGAGAACAGGTGTGGAGGGGAAAGGAGACAGCTCTGGAACTCCTGTGGGAGGAGGCCGAGGAAGGTGGGACTAAGCAGCTGGGTGCAGACCGCACGAGTACATATGGGAGTCCCTCAATCCCTAGAGAATGATCCTGGGCACAGCCGGCTCCCAGGGAGGAAGACTGGCCACTAGGTCAAGCTATCCACCAATGGACTGGCTGCTTCGGATGATAGTGAGAAGCCCATCACCAGAGGTATACAAGCAGAGAGCAGGGATGCTGCAGAGGATGCGAACACCAGTGGGTGTTGGACAGATGTGGTTAAGGGGGGTGGGATCTCCCTAGGGGGCACTGGTGCCCGGGGGCAGGTTTGGCAGATCAGGGGCTGTGGCAGGGGCCTGGGAGTTTTCACCTCTTGGATTGGCCCAGCAGCCAGCTGAAGTGGGGCCAGGCAGCCCGTACCATGACAGCCCGCACGGGAAAAGTGACCCTCTGTGGCAGTGCGCCCACCAATCCCTGCATCCTCTCCACCATGGCTCGGGTGTATGTCATGTTCGGGAACATGGGCACATAGAAGGTGGTCCAGCCCGGAGACAGAGTGGCCTCAGGATACTTCTCCTGGACCAAGGCCAAGAACCTGCAGAAAATCAGAGACACTGGTCTTTGAGAGCCTTGCTGGCCCCTTCCTCATCTCCTGGGTTCCCATCACTGGGCTAGGAAGTGGAAGTCCTATGGAATGTAGAGTGTAAGGACAGAAGCAAAGTCCCGAAGAACACAAGTGACTTATTCAGGTCCTACGAATGAGGCATGGACTTTGGAGTCAGGGGGTTCTGGGTTCAGGTCCTGACTCTTTAAGCTTGGGCAGCTCATTCAACCTCTTTTAGTCTCAACGATGTTACCCCTTCTGGTAGGGCAGGGCCCCTTCAGCATCCCCAGCTGGACAAGGGGAGACAAGCCACAGCCCCAGATGTGGGAATCTAGACTCTGCTACTTGTCTCTGAAGCTTCAGGTTTTATTTTTAAATCCCATGTAAATTTTTCCCTGGTAGGAATTTTAATGGAGCAATAATGTTACCCTCTCCTCCCCCAAACTATCGAGTATTATCAACACTCCAAGAAGATGAGCCATTATTTATCCTGGGCCACTGACTACATTTTTCCAACTGCTGCTTTCCAAATGCACCTCAGTTTGAGAATCATAGTTAAGTACTGGATGGATGGATGGATGTTTGGCTGGCTTTCTGGATGGATGGACAGATGGAAAGATGGATGACTGGAATCAGAAAGGCCTGGCTTAGAATCCTTGCTCTCCATTTTTAGACCTAGGCCACTCTTTTAACTTCAATGCAATAGTTCCCGTGTTAATAAAATGAAAATAATAGTACCTACCTCATTCTCTTGATAACTACAGTAATTTTTGGAAACAGTGCATGGGCACATAATAAACATTCAACAAACAGAGTCTAAATTACTGTCAGCTTTCCCTTCTGCAACATGGTGGGAGATGCTCTCAACACTGCGCTGCTATGTAAGGGTCAAATTGGACACATTTTCTCCTTCTGTGTGGCCCTTCATTATAAACTGGAGTTCTATGAGCTGGTGTATGGGGGGGGGTGTTGGGGGCAGTGCTAGGATTTCAGGGGGGCTGGGGAAGGAGTTAGCACTTTTAGGCTTTTCTCTAGCAAGCCAAGCCCTGCCTTGGTCCCTGGGGATATGAAAGGACTGGGCCCTGTCTGCCCTCTAGGGGTCCACTATGGAGTAGGGGTTATAAACCGGTAATCTGGCTGTGACAGCCCCCGAAATCAGGGCTGTGTTAGGAGGACGTGCGGATTGGATGAAGGCTCTCAGCAGCCTGGGATGTCAGGGTAGATGTGGCAGGAGGTAATGACTGGGCAAAGGTTCACCAGGGAACAGGGAAAAGGCATTCGAAGTGAAGGGAACAGCATGTGGAAAGGCTCAGAGGTCTGGTTCCATGGTGTGGCTGTAGGTACATTCGGCAAAGGGGCCCTGAGCACTTTCTATGCCAGACAGCGAAGAAGAACGCTGGCCATGGCTGGGGGAGAGAAGTGGACACTCACCGTGAGGCATTAACCTCGACTGAGATGGGCACATTGGGGCCCCTCAGGATGTCAGCATTGATCCATACGGGCCTTCGGACTCTCCCGTCCTCTGTCAGCTGCCGCAGGAGGTCCAGTGAGAGGCCCACAGCCTTGATGCTCTTGAAGTCCAGTTTGATGCCTGCAGGGAGGGGCCGAAGGGCTTGGGGAAATGGCCCCTCATGCTCAGGGCAGAAGGAACCAGCAGACATGACTTCCTGAAGTGTTTGGGGTGGGGTGGGTGATGAGGTGGGCAGACAGGGCCCAGATTCCAGCTGGGTGTGAAGAGGGCTTTCAAACAGGCTGAGCTACCACAGAGGAGGGACCTGCCCTGTCCCTGTAGGGAGAAAGCAGAGGCCAGCCCAGGGCTCAGACTTGGGCAGGCACATGGGTTGTCAAGCATCAGAGAGAGGAGACCATGGTTCTTGGACAGGGCAGGCT